ATAACGGGTCAAGTTCAAATCTCTTCAAATTTTAATGACTCTTACATAAACTCAAAATAGAGGTCAATATATATAGAAAGATAAATTTATATGTTCATCTGAACTTGAACTATTATACATGTGTTAAAGATTTATTGAGTGAGTATAAATAATAATATTATATTATAAACCTATGTAACCAAATTGGATATGATAGAAATTTCGAACTTTATTCATTTTATTTAAATATTGGGTTTCAAAAAAGTAAAATACAAGTTGCGTTGCCACTTTCTCTCGTGGGATATAACGATAAGCAACATAAACATTTTGCCCAATTGAAAATTGAAAAGCCTTTATTTTATTAAATTTACTTACTACTACTGGATGTGTGCGTGAATCGACCAATGAGAAAAGAATGAAACATTTTCCACACATTCAATATTCAGACAGAGTGTCCTGTCATATGTCAATACGAGAAATATGATAAATGACAGGTTTTGGACACAAGTACTTAGATTAATTAGAATTAAAAAACTCAAGGATTTCCAGTACTTGTCTATCGAATTATCTACCTGATCCAATAGTTCGAAGCTAAAAGAGTTAAAAAAAAATTGAACAAAATTTTTAAAAGAATAATAAAAAATAAAATCAATCCAAAATAACAATATTTGAATGGTAGGTGAACATTCTTATGCAAGAAGGTGTAGAAGGACATGCGTCTTACAAGGTGTAAGCTCTGTCATGCGTTTATAAAAATAAATTAATATGTCTCCTTCATTATTTATTCAACAATTTTATTATTATGTTATTGTGTATATTTTTTCCCTTCTATTTTCACTATTTTTATGGTAATAAAAATGTAAGTGATCTTCCAAACTTATTCTGGTAACATAGACTCATTCATAAAAAAAAAAAAAAAGGCTTGAGAGACTAGATACTAGGTTAAGTAACAAAGAAAAGATTGGCTTGAACAATAACAATTTTTTATACGGATGATAAAAATAATATTATTTTTTTTAAAAAAAAAGGAACCGAAAGTGTATTTCGAGCGAGAGCTACAATGGAGGCTAATTTAAAAAAATGATTTTAAGAAATAAATAAAATAAGTGACTTTGATAGATAATTATTATAAATTGAGTGATGATCTAAGTATTCAACTCCTTGAACCTTACCATGAGACTTACTCGGTATAAGAAAGTAAAATAATAAATCAAGATGAGAAGTTTATTTAGCAATGCCCTTCTAATCTCTCAATAAGATTTTTTTTATATCTAAGGCTTGTATTTGAGATTTTTTATCAAGGGTTAAGTCACTTCCACTAGTGCACTACAATCATGTTACTTTCATTCAAGTTTCTTTTTTAAATTGGAAGAACCAAATTTGTAATAAAAAAGCTAGTAATGTGAAGGAGTCTGTTTTCCTGAGTTCGGAGCCTAAGGATATATAATATATTAACAAAAATTTCAAAATGAGCGATTTCCAAATTTTTTATTTATTTTTTAAATTAAATTAAATCGTTGCACCTACAGAGATTTTACACTTTTTTCTATAAAAAAAAAATAAAAAAAATAATTAAATCGCTATTTATTTCCATAATTATTTTTTAAAAAAATCACTCATAAAAATAATCCTGCTTATGGGAGAGTCTAGCCAAATTCAAAGTAATGATCGTCATTCGAAGTAATAATCGTGAGTATATGTATAAATATATAAGTACATTGTTGTTTATGAAATTGATATGTGAAAGAAATATTTAAAAATATTTTTAAAAAAGAACTATAATAGCTGTAGCAGCAGCGATTTAATATTAAAAAAATGATAATAATTTAAGTAAAATCGCTACAAAGGCAGCGATTTATTACCATTTAAAAAAATTAAAGTAAGCAGGATTTACTATCGTTAAAAAAAATTAAATTAGATTAAATTTTTTTGGAGAAAATCGAAAAAAAAATTACATAAATTTTACTTTCACAAAAAATATGGAGGATTATTTTTTTGAGCAATTTTTTTTTATAAAAATATTACAACTCGCTGCCACTGCAGCGACTTAATTAAAATTATAAAAAAAAGTATAAAATCGCTGCAATAGCAGCGATTTATTAAAAAATTGATTTAAAATCGCTACCTTGACAGCGATTTAATTTTTTTTTTAAAAAAAATTGATACAAGTTGCTGCTCTTGCAGCGATATGCTTTTCATTTTTTTAAAAAAATTCAAACAAATAATAATAATAATAATAATAATAATTTAAAGGTAAAACGCTGCCTAAATAGCGTTTTATAAAAGAAACATTTTTTTAAAAAAACAAATTTATCAAATCGCTTTTATAGTAGCGATTTTGTTTTTTTTCCGGTGAACTAAATCGCTGCTTTTCCATTTATTTTGTTGTTTTGGTTAAAATAAAAATTCATATACCGTTTCAAAATTTTTATTAACATTTTATAAACTCCCACTAGTGCACCACAATCATGTTAAGTTTCTTTTTAAAATTGGAAGAACCAAATTTGTAATAAAAATTAAGCTAGTAATTTGAAGGAGTCTATTTTCCTCAAATTAAGTCCTTAAGCCAGCTGATAGATGTAAGCACCTAGGCATGCAAATATTATTTTCATGTTGCTACACATAAGTTTGATTAAAAGTTTATAAAGTTGCTACTTTAGTGTTTTTGTTCTTTTTCAGCTCTATGATGGTCAATGCAGTGTAAAATATTGGCCAAATTGTATGTTGTACCTATAACACTTCAACTGCATCTTAATTGTATTACATCCTGTTTGGCTCAGCTTAAAAGCTGGTCAAACTGACTTAAAAGTTGATTTTTGACTTATTTAGTTGTTTGACAATCTTCAAAATAACTTATTTTAAGTTTAAAAAAAAACTTATTTTAAACCAAAAGTTAAAAGTTGGGGTAGGGATGCTTTTTATTTTCCAGCTTATAAGTTGTTTTAAGTTGACCACATTTTTACTTTTTTACCCTTAATATTTATATACAATCTACACATTATCCACATAACCCTAACATCTTTTTCTTCTATTTTTCCCATTTCACGTGTGGATGATAGACAATTACTATTACTAATGAATGAAAATAAAATAAATCTCACTACTAGAAATTTGGTCTACTGTCACGGTTCACCTATCGTAGCAATTGACGTTACTACCGTAGCCATAGGTCTAAGGCTACGGTTACCACAACCGCTACAACAAATCGCGTAGCAATAGGGATATTGCTATGGTTCTGTGCGACAGTTCTCATAATCGTAGCCATACGTTGAGCTATTGCCACGGTTCTCATTTGAATTAATTACCGACGGTTATGGACGTATTGGTACGATTTTTAACCGTCGTAATAGAGGTTTATGCATCAGTTCTGTTAAGGCTATGGCTACAGTTTTTTTTCAATTCAACACACCGTTTTCACTCTATTGCGACGGTTGTTATATGGTATTGCAACACTTTCAAACAAGTGTAGAACTGTGGCTTAATGCCTATTGCAACGGTTATTACCTGCTATTTGCAACAATTCTAATGCAATATTAGTAAGCTAATATATACCTGCTATATATATACTAAATCATTCATGAGAATCAATTTTATATCATAAAAATACACAAATTGTTAACGAGAATAAATGTTCATTACCTTAATTAGAATTCAAGATCCGTGATTCTAATATCAATTAAAGCAAAATATACAAATCTTTTTATAGCATCCAAAAAAGGTGAAACACATGCCATAGAATTTTCAATCTTCAAAAATATATGATTTCTAGAACATCAATAAAGTTTACATCAATATATACTTCAGCTCCTATGTCAAGTCTTCACTACTGCTTTCATCCCTTTCTTCGATTTCATCACCTACATATAATCAGAAAAAAATATAAATAATTTAGCAAACCTCAAATCTGTGAAATTAACATATTACAACCATGCATTAGCAGCAGCAGAATCAAGAGACATTAAACAGAATCAAGAGACATTGAACTGCTTGTTGCATTCAATAACATTCAACTGCTACAAGCAGCAACAAAATAAAAGACACCAGACTACTATACTGCTAGCTGCATTCAAACTTCCACAAGTAGCAGTAGAAACAAGAGACCAGACTACTATGCATGCCAATAACATTCAACTGCTAGCTGCATTCAAACTTCTACAAGCAGCAGCAGAAACAAGAGACCAAACTACTACACATGCCAATAACATTCAACTGCTAGCTGTATTTAAACTTCTACAAGCAGCAGCAGAATCAAGAGACCAGACTACTACACATGCCAATAACATTAAACTGCTAGCTGCATTTAAACTTCTACAAGCAGCAGAATCAAGAGACCAGACCACTATACATTCAGCAATTAGCTACTACGTTGGCTCGACTAAACATAATCGTGAAGCTAGGATTCAACACTATAATGCTACAAGAAACCAGCAGCAGAAACAAGAGACCAGCAGCAGAATCAAGAGTCCAAACTACAAGCAGTAGAAACAACACTATCATGCTACAAGAGACATGTTTAATTAACATAAAGAAGAAACCACAAGAAACCAGACTACAAGCAGCAAGTATCAAAAAAATCATGAATCTAACAACTGGTCCTCTACTAGGCTACAAGCAGCACCAGAAAACTCATGAACCAGACTACAAGCAGCAACTCAGACTATCAGAGAACAAGCAGCAACTCAGACATTAATTATACTCATGAATCAGGCATTTACTGATCCTCTGCCTAACTTTTCCCCAACTTCCTTAGATCAATAGCATACTATTTTATTCTAATTCTATAGCAAGTAGCAACAACAAATATCAATCAAAACATAGAATTAGCGATACCAACCTTGTTTAGCCCCTTGAACAGAAGTAGATTCTCTTGGTGAAGGAGTCGACAATGCTGTCAATATGTTAGGATCAATTAATCCTTCATGCTTAAGTTGTGCAATAACATCTGCAATAACTTCTTGTCGCACAATTTTCTTTTGTTCCTCCATCTGTTTCTCCATTTTCTGCATCCTCTCTTTCATTTGCTACATTCCATCAGTTGTTGCACTTAAAGTTGATTCCAAATTGCCAAACTTTTTTTTCAAAGTAGTCTTTGTAACTCCTGCGCCATATAGTCTTAGACGTCCCGGATGTTCAGGATCCATGACGCTTGAAAATGCATTAACATACTCACCATTTATGCTTATTTGTTTTTCAATTTCCTCCATTTCAGCCTATCAAAGCATATCCAACAAACACAATCTTATGAAATAAATAATTGATCTCAATAAAAAAAATAGACAGGCACATACAATTTTACTAGTAGTATCTTCATTTGAGACCTTGTACAAACGACCAAGTTTTCTTGTTCTTGTAACCACAAAGAGATCCTTAGATGATACTGTCTCCTTATCTTTCTCCTAGTCAAATTGAAATATATATAAAAAAATAAACTCACACCGGAAGAGATCCAAAAGAAAATTTCATTAAAAAAAATATATAAGAGAACTCACCAGCTTATTACGAACTAAAGCGAAACTCTTTTTGCCAGTAGTGTGTGGATTCATCATTTTTTTCGATTCTTTGCATTTGTTTCAGACATTTTTTGCAAAGAAATGAATCAGTAATGTTAATCGAAGGTGTCTTGTAAAATGCATGTGACTATCACAATAAATGAAGAAAGAAGGTGCAAATATTACAATAAAGTACCAAATACAAATTCTACTTATTCAAAAAATTGAGATTCTGAACTACATTTTTACCTTGAATTTTTCAGAATTCCAATATTTGAGGAGCTCTCTAAATTGACATTCTGGAATATGACCAGGCTTTTTTGCCATTCGAACTGCATCATTGTCATATGGATCGTAATAATTAAGCTTCAAATCACTTCTATGTCTTCTCCAAGCATCTCGAATTGTTACCATAGTCCAATGGTACACAACTTCAGGAATAATATATTTCCCCTATAATTTTGTGTCATTCAATTAGCCAATAGAAGTAAAATACTTTTACAAATAATTTATTATTGTAAACTACAAACCTTGGTATAATCCCATAAATCCTTTTTAGTGTACATGCTCCTCCAATCCAATATATCAAATGGGCAAAGAGTCGCATTTCTAGCCAATGTTCCTAGGAAGCTACTTAACTCTATGACAACATCATCCGTAGGATCAACGGGTTGACTTTGACTATTCAGTATGATCAACTTACGTTCTTTTCGGGCATGAACATCATGCATTTGCGTTCTACCTCTTTTATTTGGAGTGGAAACATCTCCAGCTATAAGAAAATACAAGAATAATAATTAAAAATTATGAATACATAAAATAGGTTTGTAATCTTATATGTTACCTTGTTCTTCAGGTTGATCATTTGTTCGAGGAGTGACAGAATTCATTTGCACTTGATCCTCGAAAGGAAAATCTTTCCATGCTGGTCAAGAGGCAGCTCCTCGACAGGCTGCACAACAGGTAGCTTTTCGACAGGCTGATTTTCAAAAGGCAACTCCTCGACAGATTGTCTTTTTGCTTCAGATTGTGGTGCTACTGATTGTTCTACTCCAATTAATTTGAGCAAATGTCCTTTCTCGCACTCTATTTCTTTAATAATTTCATTTGTTGTCAATAACCGTCGTTTCTTATTTGCCAAGAATGATAACGATCACGATTTAGCAAATGTCTTCTTTTTGGCTTTTTTGGTTCTTTTTGAAGTTTCTTGTTGACTCATATCTATGACTATTCAAACCTGTGTGAAAATAGAAATTAAAAAGTTAAAATGTATGGCAATGTACACCTACAATATTTACACAAATCAATCACCAAGATATAATAAAGAGCTGAAAATAAAATGTACCCTTAAGGGACATTTTAATAATATTTTCTGCAATCAATCACATTCAGTAGGTTTATTACTGTTCACAATCACACACAAGATTTAGAGTGTTTTTAGGTGCCAATTGGTGAAATTATAAGAGAGCAACAAGTTTGTTACTGTCCACAATCACACACAGTAGGTTTGTTACTGTCTACAATAATATTTTCTGCACTCAATCACATTCATAGAATGTACATTAAGTACTCGAAGAGAGAACGAACCTGGAGTGTTGGACCTTAATAAAGAGATAAGAACCTAGTGATTTGCTGGTCCACTAATATATTGAAATTGCTCAGAGAAACTGCAAAAGAAGAATGAAAATGATCAATAAGAGAGAAAAGGGACTTACCAAAACTAATAATCCAAAAGTTGTAGTAATTTAACGATAACATGAAGAAAAAAACATAGAAACAAAAACATGAGATAGCAAATATAGTTTACTCAATATTCATAATCTATATGATGCACCTCAAATGATATTCATTACTTACTATAAGAAAAAAAACATAATGTATTTGAACAAGTCCACAAGATCCTTTGTCAATCATCAACTTCCATCCAATCCCAATCAGTATCATCAAAGTCATCCTCCTCTTCCGATGTTTCCATAGCTTCATCTTGTGAATGTTGTGCAATGGAAGGAGCATCGATGATATCAACAGGAAGATCTTCTCTAGACCATCTAACATCTACATCAACTAATCTTTCTGATGAACCAATATCATTATTAGGCTCTCTCCAAAATGTTTCTTCAATATTAGGACAATTCTCTTCCTCCAAATCATACAAATCCACAGGGACTTTGTTTCTTGCATAATAAACATTTTTCTCAACCGGATCTTCCACATAAAAAACTTGATGCACTTGAGATGCTAGTACAAAAGGATCATTTGTACTACATTTTTTGTTGAAATATATCCGAGTCAATCCATAATCATCGACTTCATCATGAAACCAATCACAATTAAAAAGTACAACACTAGAGCAACCCCAATAATCAATCTCAATGATATCCTGAATAATTCCATAATAGAGAACCATTCCATCAACAGGATTTTGGTCCCTAGCACTAGCAAAACTATCCGTTGTGGCTGACAAAGTCACTCCACTATTCTGAGTTTTACGAGGGGCATCCCGTGTCTTCGTATGAAATCGATATCCATTAATGAAATATCCAGTATATCTTTTTGCCACAAAGTTAGGCCCTTTAGCTAGCCATTTTAAATGATTGGACACTTCAATATTTTTAACTTTTTCACTAAACCAATCACCAAATTCTCTACTATGGACTTGTGCTTTTACCCATGCATTGCCTCTAGTACGATTATCAGTTAAGCTCTTATGTTCCCTGTAAGCATTTAATGTAATTTAATCAATGTGTATTTACAAATGAAATGAAATTTGAAATACATTATCATAACATCTAAATGAAGTTTAAAAACAAACGAGTATTTTATCTTACTTGATAAATGCCTCTACTTGTTCATCTCCTGTATTGAACAAAGTATATCGATGTGCTTCAAACAACTCATGCTGCTCCATGTTAAAAATCTTGCCTTTCCTTATATTCTCACTTCCAATTGGATGACCTGTCTTAGGAAATAAATGTGAAACACCACCTTCCTCTGTTTGAATGTACTCATGATCCTCTATTTCACACCTACTTAATTTTTTCTTCACCGTATTAGGTAGGTATATGGAAATAAAGTTCAAACAATCTACAGCTGAAAAACCTTCTACTATTGATCCTTCAGGATTTTTTCGATTACGAACAAGCCCCTTGAAGTCACACATAGTCCTCTCTGTAGAATACATCCAACACAAATGAGTTGGGCCTCCAAGCTTAATTTCATCTACTAGATGGATAGGTAAATGTGTCTTATATCAAAAAAGGATGGAGGAAAAATCTTTTCAAGCTCACATTCAATATCTATGATTTCTACTTTCATCTTATCAAGATCGCTTCTTCTTATAACCTTGCTACATGTGGCTCTAAAAAAATTCCCCAATCTAATCAAGACCATAGCTACATTCTTGGGTAACACTTTTCTGACTGCAACCTGGAGCAAGTAATGCATTATGAAATGAGCATCGTGACTTTTGTATCCTGATACTTTCATCTCTTCAATTTGCACACGACTTGATATATTAGAAGCACACCCTTTTGGTAATTTGGCATCTTTTAAGATGGTGCAAAATAACTTTTTCTCATCTGGTGTCATAGAGAAACAAGCTTTAGCTAGATGGATATTTCCTGTATCACAATCTTTTAGAGGTTGAAGATCTTTACGTATCCCCATTTCATACAAGTCATAGCAAGAATTTATATGATCTTTGGACTTTCCAAGTATATCCAATAAAGTCCCAAGCACACTGTCACAAATATTCTTCTCTATGTGCATCACATCAAGATTGTGCCTCAATTTGTTTGTTGCTCAATACGGTAACTCAAAAAATATGGATTTTTTTCCATGGACCATCATTATTTCGTTTTCTTTTCTTTTTGTTCTTTCCAAATACATTATTGAATTCACGAAGCTCTTCAAGAATTTGTGCACCTGATAATGGAGTAGGTGCAACTTTATGCTCCTCTTTACCGTTAAATGATCTTTTATCTCTTCTGAAATGGATGATCAGGAGGTAAAAACATCCGATGACTCAAGTAACACATCTTGCTACTATGTTTGAGATATTGGGAACAAGTATTATGGTTAAAAGTGGGGCATGCCCATCTCCCCTTGGTGCTCCATCCAGAAAGCATTGCTAGAGCTGGAAAATCACTAATTATCCACAATAAAGCTGCATGCATTAGAAATGTTTGATTAGTTACAGCATCATATGTTTCAACTCCCACTTCCCATAGTTCCTTCAACTCCGCAATCAGTGGTTGCAAGTATACATCTATATCATTTCCGGGAGACGATGGACCTGCAATAATCATTGACAACATAATATTCTCCGACTTCATGCAAGTCCATGGAGATAAATTATAGTTCATCAAAAAATTCCTTTTTTAAATCACACATACAAAAAAAAACACATACAAAAAATTAGCTTAGCTTAGAAAACTCCATCAAAAAATTCCTTTTTTAAATCACACATACAAAAAAAACAGTGGCACAAAGACAAGGACTATATTTTCATGCCAAGAGCAGTATCACCTGATTGAATTATTTCTTTGTTTAATGAGACTGAGGAATCTTTTGCAGATGACTACAACAATTGCAATTGAGGATGTAAGGAGAGAAGTCAAAATATTGCGCGCTTTAACAGGACATAGGAATCTGGTTCAATTCTATGATGCCTATGAGGACGAGGAAAATGTTTATATAGTCATGGAGTAAGTTGAAATTGTCAACCTTAATGTTGCTTTTCATTATGGATACCTAGGATCCTGCCCAACTAATTTGGTGATTAAAAGATCATTCATAAGTTATTTGGTAACATAAGATCACATAATGAATTCTGACAACCCAATTACAATTTTTCATAAGCCCCTGTAAAGTATTGAGAGAGTTAAATCAGCTCAACCAAATGAAAATGCTTACGGAGGTTTGTGTCTCGGACAGACCACTGAAGAAATTAGTTATGATTTGCATATTTTCTTACGGTATCTAATAGAAATTTACAGGGTTTCTTCTAATCCCACCATATATGTGAACAAATGTAGTGTCATTTCTTTCTTACGTCACTCTATGTTTCGTATACTTGGTTTCCAAGCTCATTATATTGACGGTTGTTCTTCTGTTCTATTCAGAATTTTCTTTTCGTTTCTAAGGATGAGAATTCTCCTTTAAAAGCCATTCACTTGGTCTCTCTGATTATGTAACACCAGGTAAATGTTAATGCATACAACATTTATCATTTCTTATTTTGTGCTTGTAGCATGCCATAGTTTGACTAACAGAAATATTTGCAGATGAAAGGCTTAATGATATTGTCAGAAGTGCATTATGTGTCACAGTTTATGCTGGCAGTGACTCATAAGGGAAGATAGCATTCAATCGAACAAGCAAAAGACATAGACAATTTCAGAATCCGAATGTATTTCAAAGTAAGACGACAGTGATACTCAAGTTTAAACATCTCTTAATAATCAAAAACAAAATTGAAGATAACTAAGCCTTAATCCATAACAAGTTGAGATCAGCAATATGAACACCAAAAAACAGAGGAGAGAACACAGGGTCACACAACTACCATATTTACATCAAGGTTTGTAGTCACTCAAAGGACAAGAGAGTTTTTCAAAAACGAATTAGCTTAAGCTATATCAGTTAACAAAAAGTGAAACAAATACCAGTAGGAAGTAATTTGGGAGTAATTTTTGTCCAGATTCACATCAAATGGGGAATATTAAGGAAGAATTCATCTGGAACAAAAAAAAATTCAGAGAGAAATACTTACAGATCCACAAACTTGGAGCACTAGATTTCGACTCTCTTATATATCACACAATCAAACAGGGGAAGTTTATACACTAACTATATTGGAGCAATAACATAGATTTAAGATTAACCCATA